AATATTTAGATACCATGGGCCCACCAATGGAGCTCTGCCGCCTTGCATCAGCTGAGGATTGGGCCTCCACATAGGAAATACAAATATACTTGGCATTTTAGATTTTTTTCTATTTGGAATCTAAGTAAACATGGCCAAAATAGGTCCTGTGGTTTTAAATGGTTTGGTTCAAAACTGACATACACCATGTTTCACTAGTATTTTACATCAGGCTGGCTTTTGGTAACTGATCAGAGGATACAGTACATGATTACAACACAAGATCTGCAACGGTTGCAGATATTTCATTATATAGGCAGTAAAGTTTGACAGCCGTAGCCCATCATAGCCATCACTCGCGCAGGGTACCTGCAGTCCTTTCTCCCCCATCCTCCCCCACACCTTAGTTTTGCTCGCTGATCCTTTCACAGTTAGTTAAATCTTGCAGGAAAAAGAGGGCACTAAACAAAGCAAATTGAATTAATGTTAGCCAAAGGGGTTAAGGAGACTAAGAGGCTCATACAAACATATGTGGGGATAAAGTACTAGAGATTGTCCATTAATTAATGAGGTGGATGAAATTAATTATTCTAAAGTGGCTGGTTTGCTTCATTGCTTTGTAAATTGGTCTTTAACAAGGAAAGTGAAAAGGAGGTATGAAGAACTAGAAAGTAACTAAGACATTGTTAAAACAACTATATTAAAAACTCAGTATAGTTATTCTTTAAAATGCCATGGATGCTTGGTAACATTGAATGTGTTCTAGTGTTGCCAACCCTTGTGAATTTTATTGTCAGTCTCACGTTATGTGGTATTTTTCTTGAAGTCCCAGCTCTTGCATTTGGATATGTGAGAAGCTCATCTTTCATTTAAAAACAAAATCAAGTTTGTAGTCCTCAGGGTTGAGTAGAAGATCTTGAAAATGTGACCTGCCATTCAAAATCCACAAAGCAAATAAGTCTTTCATGTGTATTATTTAAAAAAAAAAAAACTCTTGGCTCGTGGTTTTTAGGTGTCTGACTCACAATTTAAAGCATGTGAGAATGAGCTTAAGAAAACTAACTAACAAACTTGCAGAATCGTTGACGGTCCGTTTTGAGAAGTGATGGAGAGCTGGGAAAGGAAAACTGGATAAACCAAAAGCTGATTGGCTCCTTGCAGGCTGTGGCGAATGTTTCTCTTGCCTGGCATAGTGCCAATCTTCGGGTGTGTCTACATTGGAGCTGGAAGATGTAAATTCCAGCTCGAGGAAACGTACCCACACTAGCTCTGATTGAGCGAGGGTGCTCAAAACAGAAGTGTAGCGGGAGGGGCTGGCCGTGCTGAGTGTATTCCTAGCATCTCAGAAGGGATTGTACTCAGGGTGTCTAGCTCCTCCCACTGCTTGTGTGACTGCAGCTACACTTCTAGTTTCACCGGGCTAGCTCAGTCAAGGCTAGTGCGGGTACATCTCCTCAAGCTGGAATTCCTGCTGGAGCAGCAAGGTGTAGACATACCTTCAGTTCACCCACGCTAGCTCTGCTTGATCTAGCATGCTAAAAATATCACTGTAGCTGAGGTAGCACAGGCAGTGTCAGAGAGGGGCCCGGTGGGCATGTACTCATGTGGCTAGCCCAACCTATCACCCATGCTACCCTGACTACCCTGCTATTTTTAGCATGCTGCCTCGAGCAGAGCCACCAAAGGTACCTCTCTGCTCAAGCTAGGAATCATACCTCCCAACAAAAGGTAGATGTACCCTAAGTGTCTAATTTGAATCTGCTCCCTTTCCTTGCATTAGAACAACCCTCCCTGCCTTCAGTCAGAAATTGGAGGTCAGACTAAAAAGAGGAAAATACAATCTAAAAATAAATAAAAGGTTATGAATTAAATTCTCTCAAATGAGGATTTACTATGGAGAAGCGCCACACATTTTAAAACGATGTTTTGGAGTCGTAGCCACCCTTTAACCTCTGGAAGAGAACCTAAAGAGCACATTAAGGCCCCAGTCCTGCCAGAGCCCATGAAGTCACTGGGGCTCGGTTTGGGTGTAATGCATTTTAGGATCCTGGCCTAAAACTGTAGACGTTATTAAACTGGCAAGTGCTGTGAACCCAAGGGTTGGTAGGTACATGATACAATACTTAGGCCAGGTCTACATGAAAAACTTAGATCAACTCAGCTCTGTCACTCAGGGGTGTGAAAAATCCATCCCCTTGAGTGACGTAGTTAAGCCGACCTAACCCCCAGTGTAGATAAGGTTAGGTCAACAGAAGAATTATTTTGTCGACTAAGCTACTGCGTCTCAGGGAGGTGGATTAACTATAGTGACAGGAGAAACCTCCCATTTACTGTAGTGTCTGTACTGAAGCGCTAGAGCCGCACAGCTGCAGCTGCGCCACTGTAGCGGTTTAAGTGTAGACATAGCCTTAGTGTGTGTTCTTAAGATGGGTTAGCTAACCTTCAGAAGCTGACTCCAGTTAAAATAGCAGTGAAGATATGGCAGCTTAGGTTAGCAGCTTCAGTTAAAGCTTGGGGTTGAATTCAAGTTGCTAACCCAAGTTAAAATTGGAGTTGCTATGTTTTCACTGCTATTTTTAACTCGAATTAGCAAACCTGAGTTAACCCACCTTTGTTTTGCAGTATAGACAAATGACTGGACAACCACTAGAACACTGTGTACAGTTCAGGGCACCTTGGTAATAGAAAGACAAACAAACGGAATGGAATTCAGAGAAGGATATTCCCTACATTATATATAATTTCATTGTCCCTCAGGACTGAGCTACATGATCTGGGAGCTGGCTTCCATCTCGTAATTGTTTGCAATTCCATTCAGTTATTAGATTTCTACACTGACTGTTACACTCTGCTTATAGTGGACTAAGTTGGGAGCAGTTTTTAAAAAAGTTAAAATAATCCTTATTGGAGAAATTAATACTAATCAGCCATAAAAGTCAGGCTCTCATGGGAGTGATACACTGCCAGTGGCAGCAGGAGAGCAGCGTTGGGAGCGTGACTCCAGCCTGATCCCAGCCTCTCATCTAGGGTCACCTGGAGGGGGCATGAGTCCCCATGAATCCTCCTCCCCCTACCCACCCACCACTCCTCTGGTGGCAGCAGCAATGCGGAGCAGTTGTGAGGATATACACACTTGCGGACTTGAGAAGAAAAATGCACATTCGTTCATTTAATCATTTTTAAGAACGCAGCCATAGCCACTTCTACAGTTGTGAGGAGCAGTGCAGGACTGGAGGCGGGAGGTTCTGCATCAGTGCCTCTCCCTCTCTACCCTGGGATTCCATCTACAAGGGCAAAACCCTTTTTAAAGGGACCCATGCACCCTGTATCAGCATCATGGTATGGCAGCGTGGCTCTAGCGTGGCCCATCTCTCTCCCCCAGGTCACAGAACTCCAGCTTGGGGTGTCACTGCCCGGAAAAGACCCCCCTTTACCCACACCAACCCCAGTAGTAGTCAGGGCTGGGAACAGCCATGTCACTGCAGCTTCTGTGTGCCTTTGGCCCAGCACAGGGAAAGACATAAACACAGAGTTCATTGGAGGAACAGGGTTGTTGGGGCAGCCAGCCCCACTCCTGTAAAGGTTTGGGATTCTCATCGGGGCTCCATTTCCCCCACTGGTTTTAATATGCTCCTTAGGGTTCCCCATACACACTTAATATGTTGTCAGCTCTCTCTCCCACCACTGCCATGCTTGGGATTCCAGGATGGCTCCAATGAGCTTCAGAGAGTTTCTCATTGCTTTTCCCACCGACTCTGTAGGACCACAGGAAGGGGAGAATGCCTCATAATTTTTGCCCCACTCTCATGCTGCTCTCTGACCTCCAGCCGCCACCTCCAAGATCTTCCGATGGCTGAAAGAAGGGCCCCTGCTTCCTGCAGACTTTAGAAGATCTGTTGTGAGGGGACTTGAGGGGAGAAAGTTTAAGGGGTCGTATGGCATTTCCCATGGATCTGCTGAAGCCTGCCAGGAAGGGGGAGTACCCTGCAAGCCTTAGGATATTGTCCACCATTTTTCAAAGTTTAGGAGGAAAAAAGTTTCTTTGACAAGCCTCCCTAGTGATTACACATGACATCTGCCTTTGCAAAGAACAAGGCTGGGGCCTTATTTCTTTAAATGAAAGAGCTCAGGTCTCTAACAGTAATTTGACATGCTGCACTCTGCATGTCAGGTCTGGTGATCCATGGCAACATTCCAGATTCAAAAGTTAACAACTTCTGAAATCGAACTTCAATCAACTAAACATTGGTGCTGGGGGGCACTGGATTTCAATTAGGGAAGTTCAAGAAACTGGGTTTTAGCTCTCTCCTTCCTTCAAGAAAGTTAAGACTACTTGAACTCGTCACACTTCTGATGTTAGGGAATCATAACTTGTGAATCCTTTTCTGAATCACTGAATATTTCTAGAAAAATTGTACCTCTGGCCCAGCGCTAACCTGTGAGTTTCGAGGCCAGTGGGTAGAACCCTGCAAATCTACTGATATCCGCTTGATATCCACGGACCATGTTTGCGGATCAGATGTGGATATACATTTTGTATCCATGCAGGGCTCTACCAATGGGACTTTGCTGGGGGATTTGGCGGTTGGGCAAAATTGGGCATATAACAGAATCTCAGTTGCAGCCTTAATTATGGCGCAACTGTTGACATTCCATCAGGCATGTTTATTGAAGATAAGAGAGCAGAAAAGGGAGCTGGGGGCGGGACAGTAATCCAAAGGTGTGTTGGCCGGGATTTAAAGTAAGAGGGTGAGGTATTCTCTGAAAACTGTGCAAAGTTATCCTTTACCAGAAGCAATCAATCAACCTGAAGTTAATGGGAGCTTTGCTGTCGAGTTCAATGGGTGAGGGATTCCGCTCATTGGGCTTGCTTGCCCTCTCACTTACATGATTTACACTGGTATAAATGAGACCAGAATCAGGCCTATTGTCTTCTGTTAAGTGCCATCCCTGAGGCGCTGTTCATGTCCCATAGATAGCTTTTGCACTAAACTGTTTGCCTTCACATTTCACCTTTTTAGGCTGCTGGAAACCATGTCTCACTACACAGATGAACCCAGATTTACTATAGAGCAGATAGATCTGCTTCAGCGCCTGAGACGTACTGGAATGACCAGACACGAAATCCTCCACGCCTTGGAAACCTTGGACCGTCTCGATCAAGAGCATAGTGACAAGTTTGGAAGAAGGTCTAGCTATGGAGGCGGTTCCTATGGCAACAGTACCAACAATGTCCCAGCATCTTCCTCTACAGCCACAGCTTCTACACAGACTCAGCATTCTGGGATGTCCCCGTCACCTAGCAACAGTTACGACACCTCCCCACAGCCTTGCACTACTAATCAGAACGGGAGGGAGAGTAACGAGAGGTTGTCAGCGTTCAATGGGAAGATGTCGCCCACTCGCTATCCACTTGCAAACAGCTTGGCTCAAAGGTCGTACAGTTTTGAAGCCTCTGAAGAGGACTTGGACGTAGATGACAAAGTGGAAGAATTGATGAGGTTAGTAAAACTTGTAGAAGGTTCAGTAAATCAGCCTGACGAACCCTTTAAGAGGAGAACTGCATCTCAGGGGCAGGAGAGGTACTTTAATGGTTATATGTATTGTCAATAGTGTGAGGGGTGCCTTAGATAATTATCCCCTTGTTTGTCCTCCATTGGCCACCCTCCCCTTCAAAGCTTTGTGCACATTTGTCCTGGGCTACATCACAGATCCCTCTTCAGTCTGTTTTTTCCAAAGCCTGGATTGACTTTCTCATCTCAGTACACTGTTTCCATCCTCACCACATTCAAATCCCTTGGAAACAGCCCTCCTCTCCCATGAGATTCTCCACCACTGGCTCATGTCAGTCCAAAGCCTTCTCTTTCCCAATGTTGTATGGGAGAAGAGGGAAATGGCTCTGTTAATGCCTTCCTTAAGAACTTGCAATATATCATGTCTTATCTGCCTTTTGGATAGTAAGCTCCTTGGGGCAGGACTGCCTCTATTTGTGTGTTATGTAGGGCCAAGAATGGCAGCACTGAAATAAAAACAATTATGAAAAGGCATGCCTCCTCTATGGAGGGCTTACAGTCAAGATCAGTGGTCATCTTTTTTTCCCTATGAGGGGCTTCTTCCTTGTTAGGCAGGGTACCCCTTCCATTTAGCAGTATGGGAAAGGTTAGGGGAGTTGTTACTCCAAAATTAAGTATCCATGATCTTAACATGGCTCCAGCAAGAGGCAGAATGAGTGGGGAAATTTTGCATGTGTCTTTTAAATTCTGTTGTGGTTTTTTTGTGTATTATGATTTATTGGTTGTTTTGGAGTGGTATGTTTTCTCATGTATACTTGGCAAATATTGGACTGGGGCTCGCAGACCCCTGGAGGACATGAGTTTTAAGGAGGGACCGAGTGAAGGTGTGGTGGCAGGTCAAGGAGGCTCAGAAATGAGTGGGAAGAACACAAAGGAGGTGGTTAGTCATGCTCTTGGGCTCAGCGTAGTGGGGAATCTGAAAGAGTTGAGTGTAGCAGTAGGCAGGCGCTCCTTTTGCTGAAATCTACCTGTTGTCAGATTGGGGGTTCATGAGCATGATGCCCAAGATAGTGTTTGGTGCTTGTTCAAGTTGAAATGTCCCATGTTTTCTTGTGTGGAGGGTGAGGGTTGGGCGTAGAAGAGATGATGAACCCTCAGTTTTTGTGTTTTACTCACACTTTCCAAGTCTAGGCTGTTCACATTACAGTTTTGATCACCGAACTCTGCTCAGAAAAAGCCAAAGAAAAAATACGTTACCCAGGAATAAACCCCACCTGATTTTTAAAAGCCAAACAAAACTGATTCTGAATTTCACAGGCACAGGCGTTTGTTTACTGCAGTTTAAGCTTGCTGCACATTACAGCCCCTATGAAACCAGTAAACTCTTTTCCTTTTAGCATAATTATTCAGTCCCTTCTGTACCATCTCTCCACACTTTTTAAAAATAATCCTTCCAGAAAAACTAGGGATATAACGCTGACGGGTATTCCTTCATTCAGTGCACCCACGCACCATGCTTTTGGGGGCGAGGGAGGTTGTTGGGGTGGAGGTTGCAAAATCTCTTTTCCTTCCTTCAGCCCTGTTGTTTGAGAGGGCTTGTCGATATCCTCATTTGTGGAGCCAACCATGCAGACCCTGCTATCTTTTATTTTTTGTGCTTCATTTTATGACTGAGTTTTAATGCTGGTGTGAGAGATTTATTCATCCCTCTGTAATGAAACTTTGTACATTCCATATGGCAGCCCTACACCTACTATGAATTATATAGGCTATGAGTCATCCATCCGCCTGCTGGGATGCTTTGATCAGACATGACACTCATTAAAAGAAGTGTCCACTGGTGAGCTATTTTGCCTGTCTCCCCCTCCCCAAGGCAGAGGCCCCCACCCTTAAGCAAAGGAAACAAAACCATTTTACATCTTTAGAGTGCCCTTTGGCCTGTCTGTCTCTCTCGTTTTGTTGTTGTTTTGTTTTGGTAGGAGGGACAGCAGCGTGATAAAGGAGGAAATCAAAGCCTTTCTTGCCAATCGGAGGATTTCCCAAGCAGTTGTTGCACAGGTAACAGGTAAGAGCTTGAAGAGCCCTTTATTCATTTTGGGTCCCGTGTCTAGCTGCCTGTGTGTGCTAGTGCAGATGTTGGAATATTGCTTGGCTTTCTGCATTGCAGTGCAGATCTGTCAGCTTAGTCATGATAATGTATGCCTTTGATTTAAGACCCATTGTCCCGCACATCATGGAACTTCCCAAGTGAATCACTTTTTGTGTGTGGCTTTTTCTAGCAAATTTTATTTTACAGCATTGCAATAAACGCAGAGTTCCTGTCTTAAAACTAAAACCGTTTTCTTTCATTCTGAAGTTACGCTATTACATGTGGCAAATGTATATACACAAATATGTATCTGGGAATGTATCCATGGCTGGCATCAGTGCACTTAGCAGACTGATTGTGAGAGTTTGTCCACTTGTCCTTGAGTCGCTAATAATAATAAAAGGCAGATTGAGGGGTGAGGGAGTGGCCATATTAACTCTAACCTTGTTTCAAAGGGGAAAGTACCATATTTCTTCCTCTTTCCCTCTTTTTCTCCATTGGCATTAGGGATGAGTGAGCAGACCTCCATAAAACTATTTAGACCTCTACACAACACTCTGTTTGCAAAGCACTGTACAAATGTGGATTAATTCTTTGCAGAGAGGTTTAAGTGGCTTGGCCAAGGCCATACAAAGAGTTGGTAGCAGAATCAGAAGTACAACTGGAGACAAAACATACAACTTACTCTTCCTGACCTTTATTTATTTATTTCTTTATTTTTAGAACCATGCCTGAATAGACGTCTTGAAATAGTCAGATAATTAAGAAAGAAAATGTGACTAGAAGCGCCAAACTATTGTGCGAGGAGAAGTTCTAGAAAATTGCCTTGTAGGAAATGATCCTGCACTGATGGGGAAATGGTCTAGATGGTGTTCTAGCTCTTTTCCATCTCTCCCCCATGTGAAAAGAGAGTGAACAAATGCTTGGGCAGTGTGCCACCTCTTCCGGTGCACCCACTCTCAGTTTACAAAGGCAGATGCTGCGAGGAAAGGAAAAGTAACAAGACGCAGTCCTTGGATCTTTCCAAAATTAGGCATATTTCTGGCCCTCTTGTTATAAATCCCAGTTTGACCAAAAAAGACTACCTCATGTATGAACCCCTCCCCTACAGCTTTACCTGCAGGCATTGCCAGTCGGTTAGGCCTTTAAAGAAAATGCTAATGTGGACAGTGCAGCTCTATTGAAGGACATTGCTTCAGGATTCCAGGTGTAAACTTTTAACTCTCCCGTCTCTCCTAAAAAGGGTATTCTACAAGTGGGTTGTTAGGGATGAGCACATGAGTGAGTGACTGTTAGCTGTGTGGTAGATGTGTCAATTTCAAATCACAGATCTTGACCTAGTAACTTGACCTATGCTCATGTAACTCAGCATAGCTTCTGTAAATTGATTTGCACCAGCTGAGGATATGACTCTTTATCTCCTCCTACTTGCCAGCAATAGGCCCCCTTTTTTTCTTCCCATCTCGTCACATAATTTTACCATTCTTGATGCATCTGCAGTAGCAAGCGATGACTTTTTTCCTTTTATTTCTCCATCGCTGGTGAGGGGGATGGTGGGAAAAGGAGGGGAGAGAAAAAATATATAATTGTAGCTGAATGTTGAATTCCGTTGTTGAGGTAGTACAATGTAGGCCTTTCAATCTGAACCATATTCCCCCAGCTTAGTTTTGTTTTGTTTTTTTAATGACCATAAATTTATGAAGTGATCAAATAATAAAACTGACATGGAGTAGTAGATGAGGAAGGCACACAGTGAAGTTTTCTGTAGTGTCAGAAGAGAACAGAGTGAAAAATGGCAAAGGAAATTATGAAACGGTGACTAGGAAATAAAGAAACGATTGATAAGGAGCAAAACCCAGCAGAACATTTACTAGTGCTTGTACTAAATACAGAAGCTGCTTTTTATAGCAACTTTCTTTAATGGTTTCTGTAATAAGATAAACAAGAAGCTCTTGGGTTGGGAGCTGTATAAATAATCTTCTACTGATAAGAAAAATGACAGTATAAACAGGCGCTAATAATAGTTCCTGCTGAATTTCCCATCTTGTTGTTTGAAACTCCTTTAACATAGTTGCGGCTTTACTCCCTTCAAGGGTAGGTTTTCAGCATTGCATGCGGTGAATGAGATGCCAAATCCCCATTAACAATAACGGAGGGGGTCACGTATTAAATCTGTTGTGATAAGCACTGAAAATTTGCCCCTGAACCAAGTGGTTATAGGTACTAGGGCAGCATTTCTCAAACTGGGGGTCCCGACCCAAGAGGGAGTCACAGGACTATTGTAGGCATCTCTGGGCTTGCTGTGTCAGTTATGAAAGTAAAAAAATTGCTTGAGTCTCGGCACCTAATTGTTGAGCCCCGGCACCTCTTTCATTACAAATGAAGCACTGTCCAAATCCCATCGTTTCCAGGTGCTTCTATATACTTTTTTGCAAGGGACATTAAAAAAAAATGACAGCCACAGAGGATGAACGCACCCATCTGTGAGAGGAAGGGGAAAAACAGTTATTAGGGGCTTGTGTGAGCAGCAGTCTCCAGGGTTGTGAGCAGGTATGCACTGAACACACTAGAGTAGCGATTCTCTCTGCCTGCCTTCTCCTGGTGTTGGTTTTTGCTGCCTCTTTGGCATGTGGGAGGGAAATTTTCTTCCAAATCATCTGCTTGGGAGACGTGGCCCAAGGAGCAGTGCAGTCTAGGGAAATATCTCTGAGTTATTATCATCATCATCATCATCATCTCTGAACTGGAACCTGCCATGGGGAGTGTGTCTGGGAAAAGACCTGGCAGAAAGAAAGGGCAGGGGCAAAGTGGGAGCATGGAGAGGAGCAGGAAGGGGGACAGAATTGCAGGCAAGTGACAAATATTCATTAAAATGTCAAACTTATCAGAATTTGCCATGGCTCTTTTGTGACTGCCTCTCCCCCCGGAGTTTTCTATGACAAAGCTGAGTGCCCTCATCATGTACAGTACTCCTGGCTTGTTGGCCCAGAGACCAAAGGACCTAGGTCTTCCTCATGAGCCATGGGTCGGTCTGAGAGATTTTTTTCCAGACAGCCGGATATTAGATGCTCCAGATAATTACCTTCGTGAATTTGCCTTTGGCAGCAGTTTTTTCCTGCCAATGTAATTTCCTGAAATAGCAGGATTAGAAGCTATGTAACTGGATGGTACTGGTGTTGGATTGAGAAGCATCCCTTTCCTAGTGCTCTGGTGAGTCCACTGTATAAAACCAATTTTTTAGGAACTAGAAACAGTTAACACAATCAAATAATCTTTTTTGTTATTTGTTTTTGCTACGAGGACATCATTAAAAATAAATAACAGAAGGATGGAGTTGTGGTTAAGGCCCTACATTGGGACTCAAGAGATCTAGGTTCAGTTCCTGGCTCTGTCACTCACTTTGTGTGTGATGTTGGCCTGCCTCAGTGTCCCAACTGTAAAGTGAGTATAATACTACTTGTCTATTTAGGCTGTAAAGTCTTTGAGGCAGAAATCAACTCTTGCTTGTGTAGTATGTACAGTGTTGGGGCCTCTAGACTTGATCATGATACAAATAATAAAAACTGACAAGTCAAATTTGTATATTTCAGAGGAAATAATTCCCAGTAGCCTTAGTTAGCATTTCATAAATACAAAGTATTATTTAATTTGCACTAGCATCCAAAATGTGCTAGCGTTTTTCTAACAGTGGAAATTACAATATTTGCCCCAGAGAGCATCCGATCTGAACTGACAAAGATAGATGAAGAGTTGGGGAGGAAAGTGATCACAAGAAGTTTGAAAGTGATGCGGTAGAAAAAGGGGAGAACTCAAAAAAGTTGACTGATCGAAACCAGTGAGCGAGGAAGATGATCTTAGCAGCTGCATTTTGTATGGGCTGGAGATGGGAGGGTTGAGGGTGATGTGGGTGTTGGGGAAACCACAGAGACTGGGATATGAGGCCTGCACAAGAATTTTAGCTATGTGGACAGAGAGAAAAGGGTCTGATTCTCAACAGGAGTGATTACTTGGAGTTAGTGTATTGATATAGATGAGATGCAGCCCACAACATTCTGAAGTGCAGGTCCTGGGATGCAGTAGTCATTACAGAGCATGTTATGTTTGAACCTGCCGTAGTGTGCATAGAATTTGTAGAAGAGCACTGTTCTGATCTGTGCATTTCAAGATCCTGTACAAAGCTCCGATCTACAGAAAGGGATTGACTGCAGAGTGACGTACCAAAGACCACAATGAGTCAGTAGTGAAGCTGGGAATAGAATCCCCATGTCCTGGCTCTCACTCCTTTGCTTCAGCCACTGGTCCAAGTTACCATTAACGTTTGCAGGCAGCGCTAGTGTATTAGGTAGCTGCAATCTGTACTATTTTATACAAAACAAGTGTAGCAAGTTGCCAGTGCAGCCTCTCGGGCAAAGCGTGGATGCCCCAATATATTATTATGAAAATACGTTCTGTATCCATAACTGTAGTATCTGATACTTTGCTTTTATATCCTACTTTGTTACCAAAGAGCTGTACACACAATATTTTTATTACATAATTAAAGGCAGACCACAGTACTTAAAAACCAGGTAATAAACTAATGCTACCCTCACCCATCAACAGACAAAACTCATCCAACTGAGCAACCACAACTGAGAGGCCAAACACTTAAGGCATGTAGCACTGTGCTCAAAAAGTGGGCTGATATGGACTGTGATGGAACACCAAAGGAGACAGGTTTCAGAACCAGGTCCCTTTACTGAGCACATGCTTCCAGTTGACATGATTTCAACCTTAGGGATGACTAAGTGGGACTGCCTCAGCTGTTTGCACCATCTTTGATAGATAGATAGGGCAGAGGCAGTCCCTGAGAGAGGTTGGTTGGGAATACAAAATGGATATACAATAAAAGCATACAGTCCTGCCTGCAGCAAGCCAGTCAGAATATACTCATGGAGCCTTCAATTTCTCTCCCGCATCCTTGCACGAGGATTTCTGTTGAACACAAAGGAGTTCCTGTTTAAAAAAACCAAACCCACCCTTTTCCTGCAGGACAAATGAAATTTAGTAGCTCTAGAATTATATATAATGCAGGCTAGTTAGGAACATAACTATGATTTGTTCCTAGTTGGAGTTAACCCATATGAATTGGACTCCCCTGAGATTTTGAATCATTCTGAAACGTTATTAGTATCTTTGTTTAACTCAAAAATACATGTTAGGAAAAAATCCCTTATTAGAAAAAATGTAAAACTCCAGGGGCCTATTTCTCATAAGTTAAATATGATCATGAGATCACAAGATGGGAGAGGTAGGTGTGAGTACCTCATGAAAAGCAACCTTCATGTTGTGTATTATAACTCTAAACAGAGTTGGCACAGGTGGTGTTTAGCAATATATTGTTACTGTGAGCACCTCCTAGAACTTTAATCCCCAAGAGAGTTTGTATGTTAACCCTTTCTAATGGCTGAACAGCCTTCTTGAGAATGCACCCTTGGCATTTCCTTTGCCCCTTCTGTTAGCCTTCTGCTTCAGCCATTTGAACGCTGAATTATATAAGTTCTTGGAATAGCTTGTGGTGATCACGAATGAGTATGTGATTCTCATCCGAGTGGGTTTCGAGTCCTGTTTCTTTACTTGTGAAACTGGTTAGTTTTGGTTTGTGTCCTAATTAATTTGTCCTTCAGTGTTATGGATGAAATGTGGACATTGATCCTGCATTCCACTTCACTCTGAAAAAATATATTCAGCTTCTGGGAAATTTTCTCCTCTTACTATTTTTATGTAAGTCTGATTTAAATTTCTCTTAGAGAGATGGAACTTTTCACTACTAGGTCACAGGGTCTAATCCAGCCCAGGTAAATAGTGTTTGGAAGCAGTTTATCATCTGACAGCTGGGTTTGGTTTTATTTCTGGCCTATGAGATATGACTTGGCGGTGAATGACTTCATTTTCTGTTGGACTAATATCTGTATATCACAAACTGCTGTTCTGCTTTCACCTTATTGTTGAGCTCCGCATGCACCGCAAGCATTTTATCATCACAATCACTTTAATAACCTTCTTCGTCTGTAGATCTCAAAGCACTTTACAATGACGGGTAAGTACCAATATTCCCATTTTAAGGATGGCAAACTGAGGCACCTCGATGTTATGATTTCCTCAAAGTCATGTCATGAGAGTCAGTGGCCGAGCTAGGAATAGAACCCCGATTTCCTCACTCCAAAGTCTGGTGAACTTTCCACTAACTGCTGGATTACGCTGCCTGCCGTGGGTATGGAGTCTGAGTCAGGTCAAAAATAATAAAGGACAAAAGTTGAGGTACACTGGTGGGACGCTGTGGGGGAGGCTTGAAACGTGTACCTTTTCTATGTATAAAATATTAGCTTTCGGTTTCTGGGCCTCTTAAGCCAGTACCTTTCACTAGCACTGAATCCATTCAAAATTTAAATAGAACAAAAGCGCTCTCTCTCTCTCTTTCTCTCTCTTTCTTTCTTTCTTGTAGGTATCAGCCAGAGCCGGATCTCTCATTGGCTGTTGCAGCAGGGGTCAGACCTGAGTGAACAAAAGAAAAGGGCATTTTACAGATGGTACCAGCTTGAGAAGACAAACCCTGGTAAACAAAAGAAAACAAAACAAGCTAAGGTTTTATTTCTGCAATAAACCCTGGGTCATGTTTGCGAGTGGCACTGATTGTTCACTTCACCTTGCTGTACTGAAGCATCTTCCAAGAGGTGGCATCCCGTAATTGAGTGACTTTTTGGAAAGGGGAGGAATGGGGCTAAGTCTACTTGTGAATAGAACTGCTTTTAAGCGTAAACTTTTGGTTGTAGCAAGTGACCCAGAGCACTGCCGCTCCAGGTGTTCAGCTCTGGCCTGTTTCTTGGTTGCTTGACTCATTTTCACACCCTCTGAAAGTGTGGGACTATGTAGTCTCTGTTGGCGGTATGATCAGCTTGGCTTTAAATTTACACCCAGCCTCTCAATATAAATAAAAGATAAGCTCTGTTGGATCAAGAGAAGGAAACTTGCCATGGCATTGAAAATAGCTGTGTCATATAAACTAACAATAGGAAGTTTAAGGACCTATCCAGAGTGTCTTAAAATCAATGGCAGTCTTTCAGTAGACTTTCATGGGTTTTGGATGATGCCCTGAACCTGTGGTTGGGATATGATGGTGTCAAGATTTGTTTTGCAAAGCCTGCTTGCTTCTCCTCTGAAAAATCAAAAGAGAGTTCAGATATTAGTAAGGCATTTGATACGGTCTTGCATGATATTCTTATCGACAAACTAGGCAAATACAATTTAGATGGGGCTACTATAAGGTGGGTGCATAACTGGCTGGATAACCCTACTCAGAGAGTTGTTATTAATGGTTCCCAATCCTGCTGGAAAGGCATAACGAGTGGGGTTCCGCAGGGGTCTGTTTTGGGACCGGCTCTGTTCAATATCTTCATTAACGACTTAGATATTGGTATAGAAAGTACGATTATTAAGTTTGCGGATGATACCAAACTGGGAGGGATTGCAACTGCTTTGGAGGACAGGGTCATAATTCAAAATGATCTGGACAAATTGGAGAAATGGTCTGAGTTAAACAGGATGAAGTTTAACAAAGACAAATGCAAAGTGCTCCACTTAGGAAGAAAAAATCAGTTTCACACATACAGAATGGGAAGAGACTGTCTAGGAAGGAGTACGGCAGAAAGGGATCTAGGGGTTATAGTGGACCACAAGCTAAATATGAGTCAACAGTGTGATGCTGTTGCAAAAAAAGTGTTGCTGGCACAATGTGCCCGAGGCAAAGCAACAGCGAAGGTTCGTGGCCCGGTGTGCTTCGCGCCAATAAACACACCAGGTGGAGAAGCCAACAAAGTTTATTTGAGATCTCAAAGCGGTGCAAGGAGACAGGCACGTCTCAAATCGAGCACAGTAACAGAAACAGTTTTTTTTTCCTTTATACCTTTACAGTCAAGCCTCACCCCCCCCTTCCCCCGCTACCCCTCCCTTCCCTCCCCCCATTCCTCTCTCTCTCTACCCCTCCCATCCCTGGTAACAATTACTAAGCAAATAGCAATTACATTTAAGCAGTTAGTTTATGTTGGCAGCTATAAGTTCAGCTCGTTAGTAACTTCTTGAACTACTATCTTGTCCCGTTCCTTTGATTTATTATCTTTCCTTCGGCCAGAGGTATGCAGGCCTCATTATACTGCAAAAGGGGGTTTACCACTGATATCAAGCTGCTTACACATTTCACTTGCACCTGGCTTTTGAGGTCGATTAGAGTTTAAACATGGAAGGAGTTTGGTTCAGGCCTAGTGCAGGAAGGCTTCATTGACACTTGTGATTTTCCACCCTCCTGAGTCACCTGGCGTGATGGTGATGCCTGGTGACGTCAACAAAAGCAAACATGATTCTGGGATGTATTAACAGGTGTGTTGTGAGCAAGACACGAGAAGTCATTCTTCCGCTCTACTCTGCTCTGATTAGGCCTCAGCTGGAGTATTGTGTCCAGTTCTGGGCACCGCATTTCAAGAAAGATGTGGAGAAATTGGAAAGGGTCCAGAGAAGAGCAACAAGAATGATTAAAGGTCTTGAGAACATGACCTATGAAGGAAGGCTGAAAGAATTGGGTTTGTTTAGTTTGGAAAAGAGAAGACTGAGAGGGGACATGATAGCAGTTTTCAGGTATCTAAAAGGGTGTCATAAGGAGGAGGGAGAAAACTTGTTCACCTTAGCCTCTGAGGATAGAACAAGAAGCAATGGGCTTAAACTGCAGCAAGTGAGGTCTAGGTTGGACATTAGGAAAAAGTTCCTAACTGTCAGGGTAGTTAAACACTGGAATAAATTGCCTAGGGAGGTTGTGGAATCTCCATCTCTGGAGATATTTAAGAGTAGGTTAGATAAATATCTATCAGGGATGGTCTAGACAGTATTTGGTCCTGCCATGCGGGCAGGGGACTGGACTCGATGACCTCTCGAGGTCCCTTCCAGTCCTAGAATCTATGAATCTATGAATCTATATAAAGAGGAAAAGTAAAGTTCTCCATTGTTCTAACTCAATTGTGGGTGTAGAAAATCAGAAACAAGGGATGGAAGCGTTACTTGTGAAGTTATCATCTAGTCTGTCCCCTTGCAGGATTCTTCCTTGTAGTTTCTTGCTTGACCCAGGCTTCCATTACTCCCTTTTGACAGACAATCCCACAGTCCTTGGCTACCACCTTGATACTAATCAGCCTCAATTTTCCTTTGTTTAATCTGAAGCCTGCTTATACCCACCCTGTGCCAGCTGTCTTCCCTTTGAAATGTAAGTGATTTAAAGGGAGTCAGAACTCAGTGTCTGTCTATTGTGAACTTTGCTCCAAAAGTCTGAGTTCTGTTAAGTAAAACCAGTAAAACCAGATTCTGAAAACCAGTGCTGTGTGTGTAAACTGCACATAAAGAGGCTTCATACATTAATTGGTCCAGGAATACTTTAAGGTCAGCTAGGTTCAGACAAACACAGTTCTGAGTTTTGTCCTTTCTCTCAAGCATCTGGAAATGCTGTTCAGAGAGTGAATGCGCCCAGGGGAGGGAGGTGCTGACAGTTTGCTGTGATCGGTGAGGAACACCAATTTTACAATCCCTGTTGATGTTACAATTGGCACTGTCTAAAGATCTGTAAGGTTACTGGGAACAAGTTTTAGCATCAGCTGCCTTCAGATTCTCAGGTTCCACCCCGTGGAATAGTTCCCAGAAATTCCCCTTTGACAGAAGATATGGCCCAAAAACTGACAGGAAAAAGAGGACTGGAGCTTTTGGAAAGAGCTGAGAAACAGGATACGGCCTCTCCTGAAGATTGAAACTGCTGCTTAGATTTGTTTCCTATAACCTTATAGATCCTTCTGCTATAGTATTGCCTGGGGTTGTTTGTGAGTGTGTGTTCTGGGCCACGCTAAGAGAGTCTTTGTTAAACTCAGCAGTGACACCTCCCTCCCCCATATCTTCCTATGTGTCTTTTCACTCCTCAGAACTGATTTCTGATGAGAACATACCAATTTAAATCAAAATGAATTGATGTTAAACTCTAAAGTTCTACTTCACTGTCTGAGGACTTGTCTGTTGTTGTTTTTCTTTTCTTTTTGTATTGGCATGGGAGAGATTTTCTTCAACAGCCGCTGACTGGGGTTTTTTAATTTTGGTTTTTCATAAGGGACCTTACACAGCCTTTTCAAGTACTGTAAAGACAAAGTGACACTTACCTATGCCAAGGGATTGCATTGATGCCTTTAAATTCCCTTTAGGACCAATAGAACATTCAATTTACTTAGAGAGACTTGGAAAAACCTTTGTTTTTCCATAGCTGTTCGAATTTTCTACTCGAGGGGATTTTTAAATTTTTTTTAGGACAAACCGCTGCTTTGAACTGTTGCCACGCAACCGATTGTATTGCAGTCCAGACTGGCCAGCCAGTGGATAATTAATATATATTGGTTGAGTGCTAATGGTGAATACGTCATACAGACAGAGATATGGTTCCTGCCTGAAGAAACGTACGTTGTGCTTGGTGCTGTACGATCATTCAGTAAAACACGGCCCTTTTTCCGAAGAACTCACAAGATTAAATGATCAGCATGTGCCTTTTCTGTTTTCTAACTTTCTGCAGAGAGGCATGCTTCGTTTTGTCTGTTTTTCTTCTTCCTGTCTCCCTTACAATGCCAGCAGCTGGAAAGACAACTGTATTCCTTTCCCTTCTGTGACTCGTTTACTCCGAGCTGTGGTGTCACATTGGGAATTGGGAGTTCTTTGGTGACAGTGGGGCATGGGAGCTAGTTTCTCCTTCTCAGCTTAATTCTTATTTAGGTAAATTTATATCTACAGACCTGTCCCTTTTTGGAATCTCTCAGGCTGAATTCAGCTGAGTAACATTGAAAAAGACACTCCCTTTCTGTAGAACAGGAACAGTTTTGAAGGGCCAGGAAGGTACATAAAATCAACCTGAGACCTCAAGAGGAAGGATGGTTTTATGGTTAAGGACACTGGACTCATGAGATGTGGGCTCAGCCCCTGGCTCTCGCACACTTGCTGTGTGACCTTGGGCAAGTCATTTAAACTCTCTGTGCCTCCATTCCCATCTGTAAAGTGGGGATAATACTTCCTTTGTCTGACTTGTCTATCTAGACTGTAAGCTTTTCAGGGAAGGGACTGTCTCTTACTATATGTGTGTACGGCACCAATATGATGATAGTAGCATCTAGAGACTCTATAAGACAGAGACAGAAAAGAAATATAAATACAGCAAAAAATGAGACACTTCTTTTTAGTTATATAGCAGTGCTACATAGGTGGGTTATGCTTTAAATCACTCGTGTAGAGTCCTGCATCTGCTAATCTAGCAATTTTGTGTTCTGAAGCCTTAGAACAACAAGATTTTGTACTGTTTGCCGCTATTAATACAGAAGCGGGCTCAGCTCCTCCAAAGCTTTTGTTGGCTCCCAGCTTTGTTTGGCCTTTGGTATGTATTCTTCGATGTTTAGTTTTTCTCCGTGGATAGTCTCTACATCTTTCTATTGTCTTTGCTTGTTACTGTTGTTCAGACAGCCTCAGATAAACTAGTTTATTATGAAAGAAAACTAGTTATGGGAAATGTTTTAACTCTGACGCAATAATAATAATACACCTCT